TTATAAATCAAACTATAAACCTTTATAAATCATTTTATAACACAGAAAAAAATTCATTTTATTCTATTTCAGTTTATAAACATTTATAAATTAGTTTATAGACACTTGTAAATCCATTTATAAACCATTGTAAATCCATTTATAAACCATTGTAAATCCATTTATAAACCATTATAAATTCATTTATAAATCCTTATAAATCAATTTATAAATTCTAATAAATAAATTTATAAACCATTATAAATCAATTAGTAAAATTTTATAAATGTGCAAAAACTTGGTATTTCATTTTTAAGAATTTAAAAGGGTTTGTATCATTTATAAACCCTTTTCAATCTGTTTATAAACAGTTTATAAGAATATATAGAAACTTTTTTATAATAATCAATAGATCATTTATAAGAACATATAAAACTATTTATAAAGGTTTACAAAATTATTGATAAGGATTTGTAGAAATTCTAAAGATAATTCAATTATAAAGTCTTAAAACATTTTATAAAGGCTTATAAATCATTTATAAGGGTTTAGAAATCATTTATAAGGTTTTATAAATTATTTATAATGGTTTCTAAATCATTTATAATGGTTTATAGATCATTTATAAATATTTATAAAGTCATTTGTAAATTATTATTAGTTTTTTATAAGGCTTTATAAATTATAAAAGCTTATAAATTATTTATAAGACTCATTTTAAATATTTATAATGGGTTTATAAATCAATACAAAATGATGTATAAACATTTATAGCATAGTAAAATATTTTAGATGATTTAAAACTCTTATAAATAATTTATAAGTCTTTATAAATGTTTATAGCTAATTTATAAATCCTTATAAATGTTATCACATTATGTGATGATAGCAATCCTCATCAGAATCGACCATGGAAGAGGCAACGACCCTTCAACAACACACAAGTACAAGTTCAAGAAACATCGACCTGCCATCTAAAATTTGGAAGTAGAAAGTTTCCAACTTTAAACAAATGTAAGTGTAGAAATGTTCCAACTTTTGAGAATATGGAGTAACCTTTAACTCATTAACACTTACTATTATGAATGACAACACATAAAGAGGAAGATTTAAACTTAACTTACTTCTGAAAAGGTGATTCTCTAAACTTCCTCGAGGCATGAACTCATAAACGAGCAGCCTTTGATCATCTTCGATACAATAACCCACCAGTTTATCAAGATTTGGATGGAGAAGATTGACATTGAAAATGGACGATTATTTTGCCACTGTGATAACCAGCTAATGTCAGAAGTAAGACTAAATTCAGTTGCAATCACTACAATGTCTTCTAGAATCATTGCAAGCTACTTTCATTACAAGATAGTTGTTTATAGGAGTATAAAATCATTTATAAATGATTTAATAAGAAATAAAAGTGAATTTATAAACATTAATAACATTAAATGATCTAAAGTGTTTATAAAATCATCTTAAAGTGTTATAAATATTTATAAGATCATTTGTAATTAGTTTATGAATTATTTATAATGGTTTATAAATTATTTATAATGGTTTATAAATTATTTATAATGGTTTCTAAATCATTTATAATGGTTTCTAAATCATTTAAAATGGTTTATAGATGTTTATAAATATTTATAAAATCATTTATAAATTATTATTAGTTTTTTATAAGGCTTTATAAATTTTAAAAATTATTTTAAAATGCGATAACCTATGTTGCAAGGACTGAACAACCCATATACTCTTGCAAAATCAGATTCACATGCTAGCCTTTAAGTTCAAACTCATGTGCACTGAGATAAGAACCAATCATTTGCTTGAATCACTTGCACAATTCACTTCATAGCTGAGATTATCCATTTACATAAACCTGTTAAAACCAACAGAACTTGAACACTTAGTTTGTCAAAAGTTCCTGCCC